AACAACTGATGCGTACCAAAACCGTATTTTAAAAAATTTTAGCTTGGCCCAAAATGATAATAGATAGGAAAATAAAGAAAAGAAAAAGGAAAAAAAAAGAAGATGAAAATGATGATAATAAGGGAAAAATTAGAAAAGACAGCAAAAAAAAAAAAAATGGAAATTCCACGGGGAGGAGTTACTCGGCCCCCAAATCATACTCGGGAGGAAATTAATCGGCCCCCAAGCCAGATTAAGAATAACTCCTATAGCGTGATTCGAACCCGCGACCTCGATGACCTCTCCTGCACTCGTTGCACGCCTACGAATTCGGTGACCTTCCGCAGCTCTTCCACTTTGTTAGTTATCGCTGTAGTATTTGTATATAAGACACAGGGCTATTGAAAAAGATATAGGAAAAACAACCGACACGTACCAAAACCGTATTAGGAAAAATATTACCGTGGTCCAAAAAGATAGTTGCTCAGAACTATAAAGTAAAAGGATAAAAGGGATATAAAAAAAGATGGTGATAACGAGGGGAGAAAGTAGAAAAGACAGCAAAAACAAAATGGAAACTCCATGGGGAGGAGTTACTCGGCCCCCAAGCCAGTTTGAGAGTTACTCCTTGTCCGCCAGCTCCAAATCATACTCGGGGAGAAGTTATTCGGCCCCCAAGCCAGATTAAGAATAACTCCTATAGCGTGATTCGAACCCGCGACCTCGATGACCTCTCTTGTACTCGTTGCGCGCCCACGATTACCAGTCGACCATCTGGAATATGCATCATTAATTAATATAAGTTGTCGGTATGGAGAGTTTTCAAATACCGGGCTGGGGGGGAGGGTGAGGAAGTTTGTTTGACTGAGAGTGCAATCGAGCGTTTCCGCTTCATCGCAATTGTCGGTGTAGAGAGTTTTTATCGGGTTGGATGGGGGGGGGGGGGAGGGTAAGAAAGTTTGTCTGAATTAGAGTGCAATGAAGCGTTTCCGGTCAAGAATAAAGGAAATGAATCAAATAAAGAACTGATCAAAGCGTTTTCACCGAGGAATATTAGCATACATCGTAATGGCGGACGGCATCCTTTGCCGAGACTCGTTATAAAGGACGATTTGGACACTTCTCAAAGATGCTGTCCTATATCTGTCCTATGTAGCGTGTATCAAATTGGGACAATTTTGCACGCCGGGAATCACGCATTTTTTGTCTCTAAGGACGTATTTATGACTTTACTTTAACTTCAGTGTTCACTTTTTACCTGACGCGCCCTTTACAGAACTTCATTTGTCAAATTAATCAACAAAGACTTGTAATGTTTTCAACTGTACTGATACACACCAATAAAGCCCAGATTAAAACTCAGGCCTCCCGTCGAGTACCTGTGTAATAAACTTCTCTACAGCCAGTGCTGAGGAGTTTTATTAAAGTGAAGGGTGGAAAATAAACTAGCTAGAATTCCACTCGTAAGCTTGGCTAAATCTATATATTAACGTGGATAGGATTCTAAAAGGTGAAAAATAATGAAAGAAACTCCAGCTACACTCAGCGGGGGAAAAAGAGGAGACGTCGATAGAAACATTTAGACACTAGCTCCTACTGTTTAAGGTTAACTTTACTTATGCATAACGATTTGAAACTACCTTACATTAACTTGCTATGCAACTGTCGCTTAACGTGCATAATTCAGATATGGAAAATTGTACAAAAAATTACAAAACAAACCAAAAAACATACAATTTAAAAAGAAAACGATAAATGATGATTTAAATGATAAATAATAATCATAGCATGAAGAGAGAAAAATAAAATATCTTATTTCGGAAAAAAAGAAATAGAAAAAAGGCAACCAACCGTACAAGTTCCGAAATTGTATGAGAAAAAATACTGCAGTGGCTCAAAAACCAACGCACCCAGATATCAACGCTTTGTGTTCACAGTTGAGCAGTGGAGGCAAAATGTGATTGAAGTGATGTAGACGAGGAATATTAGCATTTGTTGTAATAGCGGACGGTCTCGTTTGCCGGGGCTCGCTTAAAACGACGATTCGTACACCTCTCAAAGAAGCGATCCTATATCAAATGTGTGCATTCAATTGGGATAACTTTACACGCCTGAAATCATGCATTTTAATCTCTGCAGACGAGACGCGTTTTTTATCGCACATTTCTTTTACTTTATGTCCTCTTTTTAACTCCAGCTTTATTTCAATGGGACAAAAAAAAAAGGAACCGCCAAGGTCTGTCAGTTGGGTGTACAAGGATAGATTTAAATGGCAGAGAGGTGTCAACTGCGTCCTGAAGTTCCATAATAAACTTGTAGAGTATTTCCCGACATGAAATAGTATTGAGGACCTCTGACCAGTCTTTCATTGTTAGCCGACGCCCAAACGTGCGCCATGCGCTGTACCTAAGGTCTCTAGCCGTCACTTTACGACACTGGGAAGGTGTACTTGTAGTCAAAGTTGGTTTCGCTCAAATTTGGGAGTTGAAAAAGTTGGAAGACTTAAGGTTTGTTCGTAAGAAACCGGTCTAATTTACTAAGTCCCTTGTCTAAAAATTCACCATTTCCTCAATGACATTATTCGGTCGCGTCAAGTCATTCAGACGCATAAAAACATGGGCGTTGTTGCAATCGGTGACCTTCCGCAGCTCTTCCACTTTGTGGGTTATCGCTGTAGTATTTGTTTATAAGGCACAGGGCTATTGAAAAAGATATAGGAAAAACAACCGACACGTACCAAAAACGTATTAGGAAAAAATATTACCGTGGTCCAAAAAGATAATTGCTCAGAACTATAAAGTAAAAGGATAAAAGGGATAAAAAAAGATGGTGATAACGAGGGGAGAAAGTAGAAAAGACAGCAAAAACAAAATGGAAACTCCACGGGGAGGAGTTACTCGGCCCCCAAGCCAGTTTGAGAGTTACTCCTTGTCCGCCAGCTCCAAATCATACTCGGGGAGAAGTTATTCGGCCCCCAAGCCAGATTAAGAATAACTCCTATAGCGTGATTCGAACCCGCGACCTCGATGACCTCTCTTGTACTCGTTGCGCGCCCACGATTACCAGTCGACCATCTGGAATATGCATCATTAATTAATATAAGTTGCCGGTATGGAGAGTTTTCAAATACCGGGCTGGGGGGGAGGGTGAGGAAGTTTGTTTGACTGAGAGTGCAATCGAGCGTTTCCGCTCCATCGCAATTGTCGGTGTAGAGAGTTTTTAAATATCGGGTTGGGGGGGGGGGGGAAGGGTAAGAAAGTTTGTCTGAATTAGAGTGCAATGAAGCGTTTCCGGTCAAGAATAAAGGAAATGAATCAAATAAAGAACTGATCAAAGCGTTTTCACCAAGGACGGACGGCATCGTTTGCCGGGACTCGTTATAAAGGACGATTTGGACACTTCTCAAAGATGCTGTCCTATATCAAGTGCGTGTATCAAATTGGGACAATGTTGCACGCCGGGAATCACGCATTCTTTACCTCTATGGACGTATTTATGACTTTACTTTAACTTCAGTGTTCACTTTTTACCTGACGCGCCCTTTACAGAACTTCATTTGTCAAATTAATGAATAAAGACTTGTAATGTTTTCGACTGTACTGATACACACCAATAAAGCCCAAATTTGAACCCAGGCCTCCCGTCGAGTACCTGTGTAATAAACTTCTCTACAGCTAGTGCTGAGGAGTTTTATTAAAGTGAAGGGTGGAAAATAAACTAGCTAGAATTCCACTCGTAAGCTTGGCTAAATCTATATACTAACGGGGATAAACGGGGATAGGATTCTAAAAGGTGGAAAATAATGAAAGAGGTTGAGTCAGATTGCTGACCTAATTTTAAAAACTCCAGCTACACTCAGTTGGGGAAAAAGGGAGACGTCGATAGAAATATTTAGACACTAACTCCTATTGTTTAAGGTTAATTACTTATGCGTGACGATTTGAAACTACCTTGCATTAACTTGCTATGCAACTGTTGCTCAACATTCATAATTCAGATATGGAAAATTGTAAAAAAAAATAACAAAACTAAGGACGATTTGGACATTTCTCAAAGATGCTGTCTTGTATCAAGTGCGTGTATCAAATTGGGACAATGTCGCACGCCGGAAATCATGTATTTTTTTATCACTGTGGACGTATTTATGGCTTTCATTTAACTTCAGTGTTCACTTTTTACCTGTTGGATTAATCAATAAAGACGGAATTTTTTTTCGGCTGTACTGATACACACCAGAAACATTTTAAATTTCCTCTTTGGCTATAAAACAAACTGTCCAAAATTCATTTTGGCACAAAAGTTAGATCCCTTACGAAAAGGCACAGAAATACATTGTCACATGCAATGCTGACCCCTTCATAATTTTTACTGATACCCTCTCCTTGGTGACAAAGGTTGGCACTTACATAAACAATTAAGTTCTAAATGCAGGTCTTCTGAATACCCCTATACTCCTTTGGCGTTAATTTTTCCTGTACTTCATCCGCTTTTTTTTCAAGCGTACCCCTTACTTGACCTCACGCGTGCTTGGACACTCCTCAAAGAAGCTATCAAGTGTTTGCATTGGGACAATGTTACAAGCCGGGACTCACGCATTTCTACATCGTGGACGCATTTATTATACACATATTTCTTTTACTTTAGTTCACTTCTCATCAGACGCGGCATTTGTAGTGCGTCAGTCATAAGATTAATCAACAAAGACTTGTGCTGATACACAAAAAGTAAATTTTGAATTTCGTTTTGACCTTTAAAAAAGTATTAATAGTTATATTTTGCGTGGGAAACATTTTGTATATCACTTGTGATTTCGTGTATGCTGATGAGAAATGAGCTGTAATTTTCTGTGACGCTTACACAGCAACTCTAAGTGTAGATGCGTGTCCGCTGAATGCAAACAGTGCTTAGTGTCGCATTTTCTTACAAGTATTCTAATTAGTCAGTTCTCTTGACTAGAAACCAATCATATTTTGTGTTAGAAGTTACCCATTCCCATTCTCTTGTACGCGGAAATCCACCCGGTTGTGGTTATCTAATCCCTACTAATCTCCTTCGAAGTACATTCTCTTAGTGAAGAAATGAGTGCTGCTAAAGTTGTTTGGGGTCGTTTTCTTGGACAGATCGAGGCGGTATTACCTCGTAAGCTTGTTCCATTTTGGAAAGCTCCTGCCGGTGAGTATTTTCTCTTGATTTTGCGCTATTTTACATGACTTCTGATTTCGGCGACGTAAACATGTCTGGACTTTGGCGCTTCGACCACGTATTTTGAAATGTGGTCAATATGGCTACCGGCATAAATTTTAAATAGAGGAGAATCCCTGATCGATTAACTAGTTTGGTTTGTCTACAAATTGAAGCGTTTGTTTGTTTCGGGATGTACCGCACATACGTACTTAATGGCAGAACCAGAAATGTACAAACATGAAATGGGCGATAGTGTTTAACTAACCGGTACATGCAAGACATGCCGGAGCATGACGGGACGCTACCCTGCACACGAAGAGTACGGTAATTCTGTTTTTAAAGGCGAAAAAATTTCCATGGTAAGCGATATGCCAAGGGTTCTAAAATCTCATGCCAATTAAGTGGCTGAAAGAGAGGTCGAGGAAGCCAGACAATTGGAACTACTTTTTTTCTTCCGGGGTGGTTGGTTACATTGGTTGGTTAACGGACCCTCCTTGCACGAGGGTTTCGCATGCACTGCCTTTCTGCAACACATGTCAATCCAAACTGAGACATGTGTACAGTGAGGCAGTTTGAATGTCGTGGCACTGAGAAACAAAGGTCTTTTCATGTGATTTTAATTATCAGTATTTAACTAAAGTATACAACATAACCCTTAAAATTGTGCTTTGAAGTATTTTAGAGTTTTTTCTTAATTTTTATGGTAAGGTATGTGTAGGGTAAAATTTCTGCACAGCCCCATACTACATTATGCATTCAGTTCTTGGATAGAGAAAACAATAACAAAAACAATAACAAAAACAATACATTGTCATTGGGAAAACAGATTTGTTTTACAATAGTATGGGGCTGTGCGGAAATTTTACCATGTGTAGCCCCTAAATTGTTCCAGTCAGCCATTGCAACAGTCACAGCCCTTTAGAAAGTTATTAAAACTTTGGCATTATGTACATTTTCTTGTTAGTACAAAATTTTTTTCAGGGGCATGTGATTGATTCTGCATCTATATATCTATTTTTTTTTCAGGGCCACAAACTATCTTTTTCTGGGCACCAGCTTTTAAATGGGTAAGAACATGAAAAATTTATATAATGCTTTGCAAGTTTTCATCAGTCAGAAGTTTGAAAACTTCTCATATAAGTATACACCAGGCATGTGATCAGTGATGCCTTTCTCGTGTTCTGATATGACTTTCTCCCTAGGAGGTCAAAAGCAGTTATTTTCTTCTTACTCCTTTAGCTCTCAAGAGTGAAAAGCATCTAATTTCTCCTAAAAGTCTCAACCCTGAATCAAATATTAAGGTCATGAGAATAAAGGAAATGATCACCAACCAAAGAAGCTCTTGATTGTAGAACAAATCCTTCCTTTCAGAACTGTTGGAAATGTATCAAAAACATCATGGAGAATATACATACTGATATTATGGTGTTAAAGGCTAAGATAGTACCATTCATAATTTTTTCTCAGAAAGAAATAGTTAATAATGTAAGTGATGTAATTATTGCACGTATTGAAGATGTTGCACTGTTTTTGTTGAAGGGTCTTGTATTTGCTGGTATTGCTGATCTTGCAAGACCAGCTGATAAACTCAGTCCATCACAGTCAACAGCTTTGGCAGCTACTGGTTAGTTCAAATATTCCATTCCCATTTAACCCAACTTGGTTAGCTCAAGTTGTACAGCGCTGCACTGCTGTGTGGGAGGTTGAGGGTTCAAGCCCCAGACTGGCCCAACACCCAGGGTCTTAAAATAACTGAGGAGAATGTGCAGCCTTTGCTGTGTTGTGGTTTGGTCATATTATTGTTTACATAGGCCCTGATTCAAACCAGCTTTAAGCTTGAACCTAAGTTTAAACTTAACATCATCAGGAGCAAACACAAACTCTGAGTAAATGTTTTACTTTCTGATATCAGGGATAAGAAAGCAACAGCAAGTTACATTAACCCTTAAACTGCCAAGATCTGATTGTTAATATTCCTCTCTAGATCAAGGTAACAACTTCTACCAGATAAAGTTTGAGTATTCTTATAACCTGTTTGCTGGACATGGTAGAGGTATTAAAGGGAGAAGTTACTTGTTAATCACTTCTGGGAGTTAAAGGGTTAACAGGTAACTTCTCCCTACAATATTTATACATTACTTAGCAAACATGTAACGAGAATACTCAAACTTATTTGGTATAAGTTTTTGTCTTGATCTTACATCAAATTCTCAAAACTGATTAACAAAGATATGTGTTGCAGGGAGAGGAAAGAATAAGAATGAGATCTTGGGAGTTAACCCTTTCACTCCCAAGATCTCATAGGATATTCTCCTTAGTATCTGCCATACAATTCTTATGATGTTAGTTTGGAGAATTTGTCATTGGATCAACTAAAAATCTCCTAATCTTTATTCTTATTTATTCTCGTCACCTGTCTGCTTTATATTGCATTAACACTGTAAGGAGAAATCCTCTCTTGGTCACTCATGGGAGTTAAAGGGTTAAGGTTCTAGGGCAGGGAACTTGGTCTCCTTTGGTTTAAATGTATTTTGTCAGTTTTTCCATTCTGTGTAGTGGAATAGGATTGTCCAAACAGTGTGCATACTTGTTCCTCTGGCTGGATAAATTTAAATCAGTTTACATTTTTGGTTGTGCATTGATGTAGAATGCATGTTTGCTATATTGTATGAGTTCACCATAGCAATTTTAAATTCTGTATGAACTTTACAAGCTAGGTAAAAGCATTGGGTAGACTAAACTGATGTAGCAACCTCAAATTCTGCATAAACTGCACAAGCCACACTCCCAGACACATTTGTTGGGACATGTACTGCCTCTCTTGCCCCTCTGAATGTTGTGCTGAGAGGTAGCACAGAAAAAATTGGCAATTAACCACTTTGTAAATTTTTGTGGATAAGTGTCCCAACTAATTATGTCTGGGAGTGTAATTACAAGCATTAGGTAGAAAAATTGATTTTTAGTTGATCAGTGAGTCAATTGTTAAGTCATCTGGTATGTTTACTAGTTCCTTTAGGATCAAACTCTAATTCTAAATTCTGTAGGTCAGGGAGGTGATTTGGCAAATGTAAGTGTTTTGTTTTACTTTATTTTAGCTTGCTGTTAATATTGTTTGTAATTAATTTGTTGTTATTGTTATTAAATTATTGCAGGATTGATATGGGCAAGGTACTCGTTGGTAATCATCCCCAAAAACTGGTTGCTCTTTAGTGTCAACATTGGTCTTGGAATCACAGGAATAAATCAGCTTTGTAGAATAGCATAGTATGTGTTGTTTTATTGTGTTGTATAGGATAGCTGCAACCATCTGTGTATTCCCAGTGGTCTTCAGTGTGTTTTTGAAAATGTGAAAACACTGACAGATGTGATATTTATTTCTAAAAGAAATAGTTTCCATGTTTACACAGCTTCACATAGAAGCTAAGCAGACTGTTAAAATTCTTAAAAATTTTTTTCAAACTTTTCTTGGATAAACTTCCTCAATTTCTCCCAACCCTGAGATTTTATTTTAGACTTAGTAGTTAAAGGAAAAAGTCATTTGTCACAGCACTTGTCAATAGGATGCAATTGCTTGTGTCCCAAAGAGGTCAAGCACCAATTTTTTTGCAAGAAAAAGCATGAAGTCATCACATCAGAATGCGTGATTGTATTCATTAATATTTCACTTATCTTTTCAGTTACAGGTATACTCTTGAGAAATCAAAAGAATCAAGTGAAATCCAAGCAAGTGTGGAACATAAAGCAAACTGAGGTCATGGTGGATTGGAATAAGGACATTGTAGATATTGAATTTACTTAATCTGAGCCTCACTTTGGGAGTTAACCTGGAAAAAAATTATTTTTTCATTTTGGTTGGTCAGTTTTTGTCGTCAGTCTACACATCAGATCACTATTTTACCCTTTAATTTTTAGTGTAATTCATTTCTAATCCAACTGGTAATAACTCATAGGGAAAATCAGGTTTTATCTATATATATTTAGATATGCTACTGCTCAAGCAGCCTGTAATTAAATTATTCAATGAAAATATTTAGCATTTTTGGTCATTCAAATTTTGTGTAGATCAGGTAGTTGCAATGGGGTAGCTGTGCCTGAATTGTAAAATATTAATAGACATGAAAATGGGCAGCAACTGTGGATTTTTCTAATTTGGAGTTAGTAAGACAAGTAATAGGTATTAAATTAATTGTTTCTCATGTGTATCATTAGTATTTAAAATTAGCAAGTGTCTTTTAAGGATGGTATATTTATACATATGGTTTTAGTATCTCACAAGGCATAGAATAATACATGCAGGTGTTGTAATGGTGAATTAAATGTAAATTGTGTATTAAAAATAAAGGTTTTGTTTACATCATTTCTACAATTTGATGAGTCATATGCACCATTTGGATATGGAGATATTTGAGTCATTTTGCTAGAAACAACACAGCTTGGAAAGTGGAAACAATCCATGAAACAATGCCATCTTTTCATGACTTGCTTATGTACATCATTTTTATAGGGTATGAGGCTCTGTTCACAGATCATATAAATAAATCTCCAAACACAGTATTTATTGTGCGGTACTGATCACAAGTTTTGAACATTCATATTCAATTGACACTTGTTGCCAGGGAGTCATTATTGTCCTGTATTTCAAGCCAGAAAATTATTGACAGGTACTAGGGGTGACCCAGCAGTCAAAACAATAGGTTGAAAGGTTGTGTCAAGAGCCTGGTCTTAAGTGTGGTCTCAAGATCTTTGGACATGACTCTCTAAATGCATACACATTGCTTCTTTGAACCAGAGAATAAATGGAGTGGGGGCTAAGGTGATGGACAGTAGCTCAGCTTATCAGTAAAGTAGCATCTCGGCTTAAAAGAAGCAGCAATGCTCCCAAGTTCCTTCATTATGGGAAAACAAGATGCTAATTAGGCCAGAAAGACTTCACCATGTTAACCCTGACCAGAGTGACAATTGTTTTATAGACAAAATTTCTTTTTGATGTCTTCTTTGCCATTGTTTCAATGTTATTTGGTTTCTTCTGAAGTCACTTTGTTGTGCTTTCTTTTACACATGTAGCAAAGTTGCTATGCCAGTATGTCATCCTGAGGGAGTTTGTTGTTAATTTCAGAATGTACAGCAAGCATAATTATCTTCTCTCTTTTGTGGTGTTTTGAGTCTCTGAAGACCACCACTCCTCGCTGTTCCCTTTACCCTTACTTCTTGGAATTCTCCAAGGCTCAAAGTATGAAACCAACTTTCCATCCTTTGTGGGAAAAATACTCTTCATTTTGAGACCAAATTCTTTCGCCTATAAAACAAATCGAATTAAAGTTTGAGAAATATTCTTTTACAAGATGCTGGGGGGATTTTTTAGCAGAGGAGAGATTTGCACCAGTATCTCACTGGCACTACGGGTATGCTAGGTGGTTTCACTAGAATTGTAATAAGCCTTATTCGTATTCAAGTGGGATTACCCAATTACCACCTCACCTAAGCTTCCCTTTCAAGGTGTACTGGGCTGGTGAAGTTTATTTTGAAAGTATCAGTTCTCAAAACACTGAAATCATGAGAACCCTCGTCATTATTGTTTCTTTCTCTCCTTGTGAAGAAAAGGGTCAGAAATCAAACAATATCCACATGAAAACAATGATAAAGTAGCAAAAATTTGGGGATAATGTGGTGGAAACAAGGAATAGGGGTGACTTTTTTAGCAAAGATGTCACATGTATATGAGCTATCATCAATTTTTCTTGACAAAGAGGTGGATTACATGCTCCTTTGGAACCACCCTTCCCAGTATTGCCTTTATGAAATCGAAGTGCAATGGTGAACTTTACAGGAAATGATGGTTGGAATTCACCAGGAGACAAAAAAAGGGTTCCAACCACAATAAACACCTAGCTAATAATTGAACATCAACGGTTTTTTTATCCATGTAGGGCCATGGTAAATATTTATTTAATTCCCTGCCCTCAACCAATCATGGACAACCAAATACACAACCCCAATAGATTAATGCCTGTGAGAGGTCAGGCAGAAATTTTTCTCTTAATTCTAGACTATAAGGTTGACAAAAAATCCTACCAAATCTTGAAAACTAGCTATCAATATTTTAGAAGGATAAACTTTTTATATTCAAGATCAATTAATTTTCCTTTCAGTCTATTTAGTAAAATCTATCAGTCTACTGAGTAAAATTTAGTAACCCTGCTTCCACTGCACATTGTCGAATACAAAAATCACGTGCAGGTGTGATGATAAGTAATAGACTAGAGTGATTTTCTCTAGTGAGTCACGAGGAGAGTCAGTCCTCATATACCTGCAGCCTCACTGCACCTGACCGAAATTAAGAAACAATAAAACATAACACGAAACGATAACTCCAAGTTAGGAAAAGCTAAACTGAGAAAATAACTTATATCATGACTAAACACTAAGGACAGCGCACACCACGAAAAAAAAAATAAAAACAAAAACAAACAAACACACAAACAAACAAACAAAAAACGTAGAAGTGTTACGTATTCTTACATCCTTAACACCAAGAGCAGTCTTCACTCCAAATATTAGAAGACCGACCCCACTGACGGCAAGGACAGTGCCCCATCCGAGAGCTCTCATGGCTAGTTTCGCCCCTTCTTGTTGACGTTGGTCAAAAGAGCTTGGACTTCTCCTTCGCGCTTGTCCGATAGCATATCCAAAACCACTAGCCATCGACGCAAAAGTTACACCAGTCAACAACAACGCTCCTGCAAAAACATCACCCGCTTTCATGTTTTGAGAATCGCCGTTCTCGTGCATTTTCTTAGTATTTTCGTCCGCCATTTTGAATGTTAAATCGCGGGCTCATTTAAGCATGCGCTCCTAATCCTCGGTGTGGCGCCTGATACTCGAAGACATTTCGTTCCGCTTGGATATGAAGACAAGCAAATAATGGGTTGTTTCAGGTGGAATTTTACCAGTTGAGCTTGTTCGTGTACTTCGGCACACGGAGACTAGTGCTGGTAATGACTAATTTTGCCCTGCGGAGAAGCTGCGTTTGTCCTTGCCGGTTCTGAACGACAAAAACCTCCATGACTGTAAAGCAATACACACCCATAATGTCAAATCGCAATTGGGAAGTTTTTCCAGGGAGAAACAAGTTTTACTGCGATGGAAGGATTATAATGGCGAGAAATAACGGCGTATTTTATTTTACCGTGGTGCTTATTGTGGTAACCAGTGGACTTTTCTTTGCATTTGAGTAAGTATGGAGCTGAGTCGTTCCTTCACTTCGATCATGAGGTCATTTCTCAAATGTAACGAAAAGTTGGAAATTATATAAACACAACGAATCTTTTAATCTTTTCGCTGTGGATCACTCAGACAGCAGCTTAAACAAGACAGCGATCGTTTTTCCAGTTGTATACAATTTTTTACACCTGTGTATTAAAGTGATATACAAACAATTTTAATTTTCTCAGCTGTTTTGCAAAATATTTTCCGTATTCAGGGTATTCAACTTGTTTTGTAGTTTGCTCTATGAAGTAAATAATGCATCTTTGCCCTCTAATTAGCTTTGCATTTGTTCATAATCACTTGCGTTTTATTTCTACCTCCATTTAGGTTTTCCTATATCGAATTATTTTCTTTTTTGAAACTTTTTCGACTCTAGCTGATGTAAGCCGGAACGTCTACATTGTATGCATGCGATTTTCTGAGCATAATTTTTAGAACAATAAATAAATTATACTGATTACCCTGTGACCAAACAAAGGTCCATTTAGTTACTCTGTGGCTGCAACAGTGTATTGGAAAAAGATAACCTACGATCTTATTAATTTTTGAAGATGGAAATAATTTTGTGTTTGGTGTTGGATTTATAAATTACTTAAATTTCTAATTTCACATAGAGCCAAAAATGTTAAGACAAAATTGTCTTGTAGCAATGAATCTGATGCTACTATTTTGCAATCTGCTCATATTTATGGTAGCATTGAATGGTATCTCCATTTTTCACTGTACAGCTGGAACATTTAGTGGTTTTTGATGAATTATTCCACAGAAACACATTTGCATGGAATGAAAAGTCTTGCAAAATAAATGGAGGGTAAATTTATCATATGTACATTCTGACCCTTGGCTCATAATAAAAACTGTTCAGGAATACAGAGAGGTAGTGGGTAGGGGTGTTGTCTGATTTTAGTTTTCTTGTGTCAGACTTCATCATGTATATGCTCTAAAATTTAATAGAATTCTGTGAAATGTCATTAAGAGGTTAAATGCCGCATAACTAAACAAGTTTTAAGACTTTAAGAATGCATTTGGGGTTAAAACACATTTGCTTAAAGAAAAAAAAAATCACCAATTTTGCATTCTCTACTGCATGTGAAAGAGGAATGCTTTTGGCTTACCAAGTACATAGACCTTGTTAGAGGGGGATTGATATGTGGGAAGGTATTCCACATGTGACTTCTTTTGCCCAATGCAACTCTGAGGTGGAAGTCAGAGCTTTGCTTGTGTGTAAGACAATGTTTATTTTCTATGCAGTGCTATTGTTATCAATACAATTGTAAATATTACAGATGTTATCTTTTTAAGTTTAAAATGGGAATAGGCTGTAGCATTTTGCACAAGAACTCTTTCCAAAAAGGTGAATTTGTTAATCAAGTGATTGTTTGTAAAAAGATTGACATGGATTTGTCAAAAGCAAATACATTCATGTACACTACAAATATGTTAACACTGTTGCTATATTTGTGACTACAGAAATTTTGAATTATGCAGTATAGTAAAACTAAGTTTTTTCTCATAGTGAATAGGATTTGTCCAGAATACAACCACAAGAAAAGAAATGTTTTCACTTTGTTCTGTTTATGGTGATTTGATAAATTTTATGCTTTGGCCGCAATGTGCAAATCAGTTTTTAAGACCAAATTTGGTAATTGTTTTTGGAAAGAAACTACAAACTTAAAGCAATTACTGGTATATACATGTACATGTACATGTAGGTCTGCATGATTTCTTTCAGAGTAAGAGTTTAGTTTGTCATTGTAAATACTGTCTTGTCTGAAGAGCATTTTAACTTACGAAAATTGTCTTATGGTCTGTCAATGATGTTGTTTCCTGCTCCTCTGGTACCTTATCTGTTCAGCTATTTTCATGACAATTGATTTTGTTCATTTAAGAATCACATATATGTATGACTTTTTCAGGGGCTGATTATTTTTACTGTCAGTCACATATTCTCTACAATATGAAATCAGGATTGTTGAATGAAATAACATTCTTTAGTTGATATCTTTTTCCCTTCTTATCACCTATCTACTTGATAATATATCAGAAATGTTATGAAAATTTTCTCCTTAGTCACTTCTGGGGTTGTAAAGGTTAATAGAAAAATTTTTGTCATTGAAATAATTGTTTTCCTGTCAGTAGTTACCAGTATGATAATTTGTTAGTATAATTCACAGAGGTTAGTCTGTGTAGAGTTGAATTGAATTAATTTTTATGAATCTTTCCCCCTTGTCTTTTTACTTTGCAGCTCTCGTTACTTGTATATGCATGTTTCTCCAGCTGTCCCATTCATTGCAGCATGGTTATTTATCTTTGTCATGTCAACACTACTTCGCACAGCTTTCAGTGATCCTGGTATAGTACCTCGAGCATCAACCGAAGAGGCAGCTTATATTGAAAAAACTTTAGGTGAGAAAAGAAGTAAAGTCAATCAAATTACTATTGTACTGAAGATAGTCAACTTGAGTGCTCATAATTAGCCTAAGTTTTAAGAAGGAGAAAGGTACTGGGGTACTCCCATTTCTACGAAATCTTGAAAGTTTTGCATCATTATTACCAGTAGGTTCTCCTCTCATGTGCCAGTTTATCAAGTTTGCCTGGTTAGTGGAACAAATTTTGCCATCTGTTCATATGGGAATATTCTGTCATGCTGTATTTTTGAGATCTCAGCCTGGTTGTTGTTTTTGATAGCAGAATTTTCAGTCCAGTTACCCAGATAAAGTCTCATTCTCTCCTTATTCATGTGAGTTACAAAACTGGGATGCTTGTAAAGGGAGAAAATCAGACTCCATACGGAGATCTTTTTCACAAAAATACGACATCTTAGATTTTGCGTGGATTTATATAGTTCAGAGGAAAGACCTCAAAAAATCAGCTAGGAAAACCTCAGGAAATAAACAAGCTTTGTTGATTGGGTGAACAAATGTGTGAACATATTGGGAAAATTTCAAGTCATTTTTGCCTATCTTGGATCGAATTTCATTGAAACCAGCTTGACATAGTTTTGCTTGTCTTTTCTTCTTTCAGAAACTCCAAATCAAGATTCTCAAACATATAGGCCTCCTCCCAGAGTGAAGGAGATCTCAATAAATGGACAAACTGTTAAACTTAAATTTTGTTTTACCTGCAAGATATTTAGACCTCCTAGAGCATCACACTGCAGTATGTGTGACAACTGCGTAGGTGAGTAGAAATCAATCGGTGGAGGTTTGGTTGTGGCAATCTTTTTGAGGCTTTCAAGGTTTTCAGCTGGCATCAGACCCTGGAAAATTCTTCAGCTATATGTACAAGAAAGAATTTTTAAGGGAGTTTTCCCTATTGCCTAAGATGTTTTTAATGCAGATGTAGAGAATATTCTCTTGTAGCCGTAATCCAGATGTGTGGGGTCCTGGGAGATATATTTTTTGAAATGCATCTATGCTTCCAGTGTGCAGTTACAGTCTTAAGTTTTCATAATATTTTTCATGATTCTAAATACAGCAATGCTTTGGTTGATTGTTTCTGAGGTTTATAAACATGTTTAAACTGCATAATGTTATGTTTTCTTCTTTTTAGAGCGGTTTGACCACCACTGTCCATGGGTGAGTAGTTTGTTAGTTTTCAAGTGAGTTTAGGTTGCACATTAATGCAAGGTCATTTTTCTGCCCTTTTTTTTCAATTCCACTGTTTGGTCACAACCCTTCTAAGCATTATAACTCAATTTCTAGAATTATATAGGAGGTGATTTTTTTTTTTTTTTTTGCCTGTATTGTATGTTTTGGCCTCTCTTCACTGAGGGGCGTAATTGGGTACCAGCAAGTTGCTAGGAGCTTAGGGGGAGGGAGTTTTTAGTAATGGGTTTGCATCCAGTTTCCAGCGGAAGTACGAAAGCTTTTAAATCCTAACATGATTAGGAAATGTTTAGAACTTGTTTTTATGTAACTACTGGTTGGTTTTGATTGGATTGCTTTTATTATTTTCTTCTAGGTTGGGAACTGTGTAGGGAAAAGGAACTACAAGTTTTTCTTCATGTTTCTAGTTTCTCTCTCAATCTACTGTTGCTATCTCTTTGCTTTTGTTGTAACTCATCTTGCATTGTGTAAGTTGGACCATTTTTACTTACACCTTTGTTCCTATTCTCCTAATGGTATTTTATGTGATTGCAGCAAGAGACATTCAATATTTACTAGATTTTCATGAACAGATCAAATGTGTTGTGGGTCCATAATGGCACCAGAACTGTTTCAGCTTAACATGTGAGGTCTGCTTTGAGTACAAAAAAAGAGATTGCCAGTGATAATTACTAGGGATGTTCCTTTTTCTGGGATGGGCAAAATAAGGTAATTTCATTTTGGGAGTGTGAGTGGGACAGATAGGAAGTGTACTATTTAAGATGCAGAGAATATTTAACTTGTAAACCCTTTTTATCAGCAAGTTCTCTCTGCTGTGGCCATTTTGGTCTTCTTTAGGCTCCTGCAGGATAGAAGACTCCAGAGATCCCAAAGATCCCTTTTAGGAGCTGCTGGTTAACAACAAAAGTTATCATTGACAGTTGTTACAAACTAGTAAATCCATTGGAATGTTACTTGAATAGTGTCTGTATATCTTTTACAGTATCACAAGGAGAGGAAAGTTCATTTATTTCTGCAATGAAAAAGTCTCCTGCTAGATATCCTTTGAATTAAATAACAGACACACAGGCTGAAGCTCATGACTCAGTGAAACTATCTTAACATATGATTTTAAGTTCTTTAAATTACATGTGAAATGTATTGGCTTAGTGGTAAATGCTGCCACCTGTGAGAAAAAAAAGGGGGGGCTATAGCTAGCCAAGTCATTGTGTCAGGGTAGGGTAGTTTTAGTGAATTGTACTGTATTTATTTGGTGTAGTGTAAAGTGACCACTGTGTGGCTGTCTCACTGTCCTTTTCTGCACCAAAGAGTATTATTGGAATGCAATGAAAGTGACCTGTCAGGAAAGTTAGGATAATCCTACTCGCAGTTGTCTCTCTTCATGCTTACTGAAGACTGACTGTTAACTGATTTTTCCTTGAAATTCTTTGATGTACCTAGTTTCTCAAGCAAGTAAACTCTTTAATTCAACTGAATTCAAATGACTCTTCTACCCACATACTTGAATAAAGAGATTCAAAGCAAATTTTCAGGAAACTGAATTTAGTAGGTTAAGGGAAAAAGTGTTGTAGCAAGCAATAGGAACAGAAAATGATAAAAATAACTGAGCATATAATTAGATCATGTCACACAGTACTTGCACAGTTACATTTTTCATGATTACTGATTGTGTCCTTAACTTTTTGTACTATCTTAGAGGCTATTATTTGCTTTTTTTCAATCTGGTCAATAGTTGGATTGACTGGTTTTCATTCATATTTGGTTGGCTCAAATCAAACTACAAACGAAGATGTAAGTTCTTCATCAATAATATCAAACAGGTGCAAAGTTAAACCCTTATTATGGCCCACCTTTAAATTTGTTATCATAGAATAAGAGTACCTTCTTGTCTCAAAACTCTTGGTTGCCCAGATTTTAAGGGGTTTCTTTAACCCTTTAGACCCCAACATCAATGATCATCATCTCCATACTGTTCTCCATAAATTTTCTGAGGTGTTGACAAGGAGAATGAGTTTAACAATCAAGAGTTTCTTTAGTTGGTGATCATTTCATTTATTCTTGTGATGTTAATGTGTGATTTAGGGATGGTGTTGTATGGAGAAATTCAATGCTAATCACTCTTGGAGATTAGAGGAATGGGAAAAATTAGTGCCAGGTTGCCTAAGTACAGAAGAGAGTCGCCTGTGGTACTCAGGCTCTGTTTGAGCACAGTCCAGATCCTACAGTGAGATTTTTTAAATTGTGCTTATGTTATGTTAGTGATTATAATTATTTCTTCCCCTTGATTTGACAGATTAAAGGATCATTTTCCTCACGAAGTGGCCAAGGAAATGTCAATCCTTATAGTCGGGGCTCAGTATTGAAAAACTGTGCTGAAGTTCTTTGTGGACCACTTCAGCCCAGGTATGGTGGTTCAGCAGCTTTCACACAAAAATGATATTGGTTATAATTATGATTATGAGAATGATGATGACTATAATATAATTGTTAATAGTGACAATAATGAGCATGATGTCTGTTGTGATGGGCTGGTTTTCAACTGCTGTAATTGATGGATTCTGATCCTTATGGCCAAAGGGACAACTGCTCTAAACCAAAAAATCACAGAAGAGCATGATATTTTATAAGAATCAAACACAGTCAACTTGCTGTAATTTACATCTTTGTTGGGATTGTTGTTGTTTTTGGGTCAAGTCTCACAGCTGCTTTTGTTTGATAGTTTAATAAACAGAAGAGGTGTTATTATCCCTGAACCTCCTGAATCAGACAAGTATGGGGCAGTAAGGACATCAACAACGGCACCCATGGTGAGTGATATAGATAAATCTGTTTTACTTCTTTGCAGCTGAATTGGAGCTGCTGCAGTGTGTAGATAAACCAAAACCCTGGCTGGATCGCCAAGGGTCACATTGTGGTGCATTTCTAAGTAGCCTCATCTTCTTTGTCATGGCAAGGCCTGACTAACTCAAATCATGCTGAAGGATCACAATCATAAGTTTTGTTTGTGTGATTTTTTTAAATTTTGTTTTGGCTTGTATCTGCTAGAATTGCCTTTTGACCAACTGAACAATGTAGTATGTCGTTCAGATATCTATGAAGTACATAATCTACGTGTCTAAACTCTCAAGTACATGCGTTATATAATCTGTTTCTTTCTATTGCAGTCCCCCACACAATTAGGCTCAACAAATGGTGTCAGACATGATGCCAGTAGAGCAGAGGATGAACAAAACAAGTTATTACCCAAGGCACAAGAACAAGACAGTCTCCAAGCTGACAGTGAAAAGGGACTTGTTAAATTAAGCAGTGTGTGAACAATAACCTGTACCTACATGTGTATGGATCTACAGTTTTAACGTTTGTTCAGTGTAACAACAGTTAAAACATGGAATTAAGTTTCAGTATTGAAGGTTCCATCTGTGTTTGTCTCAGGGTCAAGGGTGTTGTTTTACAGGTCCCATGTAATGTACCATTTTGTCGGTAGAAGGGATTAGCACAAGACTGGAGCATTTATCCAAAGGAAAAGCAATGGACACTACTTACAGCAAAGCAGTACACCCATTATGAACTTCAAGTAATGATCAACTAACTAAATCATTAGCCCCATTTTATTACTTATTGTAGGAGTCCTTGCATGTATCAAGCCACGATACCCTATGACAAGTGCAGAGTCAGGGTTTTGCTCTGATTTCTGAGGTGACCTAATGTGTCTGACAAGCAGAGAGCAGTGGAGATCAATAGTTACTGATTCATAATATCTTCTAGGCAGAATATTGATGTGACAGCATGAGTAGCCAACAAAGCCATGCATGTAGTAACTGGCAAAGCTCATCTGCCTCTGGCCCTTATTTACAATCCTGCTGTATATTTTAGTTAAGATTATCAAACAACGAGCCTGACATCTACATTTCAGAGAGTAAATCAAGCTTTAAGGGTATCCACACTGACAATAACTTGTAATTTTAGTGGTCAATATCTCACAATTGTACCCAGCTCTTAGTATTTTATGCTGTTTTACAGCTAAGTGTGTGATTTCCTTGAATTTCATCTTATGCATTTCATTGTTGGTGGAAATCAAAATACATGTCTTGAGCACTAATTCAAATACTAATGAAGAATGTCAGGGTTCTCAAAGAACTTTACACCCTGAACAGCTTTGGTTTACACTCACTTGAGAATATTTCAGGCAATCAATCATTTTAGGTTTTTCAAATCAGTAGGAACATCATTAGGAAATACAACTACTGATCAGAGGTTATCTCACATTTGAAGGAAATTGTGACTCTTTTTAGTATTGTTATGGCCTGTTGATTTACAGTGGTTTCCAGATATTGTACAACGTGACAAATAACATTGAAAATGTACTTGATAATTAAAGTTTTGGTTTTGGAATTGAGGGTAGTATGTTACTGTTTTTGATCTAAGTGGTCACTTAAAAACTTCAATCTGCAATGGAAAAATTATTTAATTGGCAATATGTAAGGAAATTTAGTACTTCCTAAGTCCATTTTGTCAGCATTTTGATTTTTAATTACAAAGGTGAGGGCTTTTTTTTTTAACTGTTTAGAAATTATTTAAATTTTTTATCACTAATCATTATATATTTAATGGTTAGTAGGCACATTAAGGGATATATCTTACTCTGATTTCTCACAATTCTCCCTTAATGCTGTCCACAAATTCACTCCTAGGAGTGACTAAAGACAAACTTTCCTGCACAAAAAAAAAAGAATCCTTTACAAAAAAGGAAATTATGAACCAGAGGATATGGGTTAATTTGACACCAAATTTCTCAAAGCTAGAATTATAAGAGCAGTTTGGCATGCTGTGTTAAGAATTTATAATTTGATCTTGGGATTTTAAGAGGTAAGCAGATGAAGAGCAGAAACAAAAGCCTAATTTACATGGAAGGAGGTTTGCTTAAGAACATCACTTGCTGCTCATTTGTGCAGATTGTTCACTTTCTGTTAAATATGGTGAAAATGTAACCTTCATTCATTAACTACTCTAACAACAAATGTCACACTTCTAGAAAACTATTTTAAATACCACTAATAATAGTTTTTTTACTGTTGGTCTACTGTAAGGTAGTCATGGTCACAGTTGCTACTCCAATGACATGATCTATGTTGAGACTGGTTTCAATTGAAGTTCAAGTCATGCCATGGTCCAATGCAAAAGTTGTTCTGTTAAGTTTCACCTTGAAGGATCCTATTTCTCTAGGTTTCTGTTAGAAACAATTTTTTTTCTCCCAAAATTATAACAGGTGGATGCAAACTATATCTTGGCTTTAGTTCTTTTTTGTCCAGCCAAGAGGACATTTGATACATAAAATCACTCTCCAGCAAGTCCCCAGACATGCCCACAACCTTGGATACATATGCAGTGCTGAGAGGGACAAGCCTGTTTGTGATGCTCAAAACTATTTGTGAAGCATGGAATGGGGAACACAGATTTGACTAAGCACTAGGGCCACTTGGATTGTTACATAAAATTGAAATATTGGTACTAGTCTTCAACTGGTTTCAAATACACATCAAATGCTACATAATTACAGATGTTCACCTCACAACCAATGTCTTGCTTTTTATTTTCACACTTTTATTAACTGGTATTGGTCTTAAAATTTATCTTAACTACAGATGCTGCATGGTTGTATGTCTATCTCACAACCCCTGTTTTAGTCTGTATATTCACACTTCCCATTCATGCTAAGAGGAAATGAAGAGAAGTGGTTCTTCTTTCCTGGAAAATCAGTTGAGGTGCATTGCCAACCTAACATGTCACTGCACTAAAAAAGAATTGTCATGGTAACACTTTTTTGGAGGGGCACATTCTCATTACAAGTATATTCATTTGATTTCATATCCAAAATAATGCAGTTTCTAACAACACATTAAAGTGACTTAATCACAAACAAACTTTTAGTATCATCTAACACACCAAATTAAATGTAACTACCACATAAGCTGATTACTCGAGATGTAAGTTATAATCAAAATGCATGTTGTTACTTTTAATTGAATTGTACTTCCATTGTACTTCCATTCACCTGATTGGAGTACATCCAATATACTAATATTCCTTTGTCACAAATGGAAATGCCTACCAGCATCACTAACTGAAACATCCTTTTTTTATGGACCAGATATCCAGGTTGAAGAAGTACTGTGAACTATAGAGCACATATTTTTTCATATGTTTAAAAAGCACTTGAACTTACTTTATGAATTTGTTTTACCAATAGTTGTTGGAGGTTAGGAAGACTGAAGGCAAATGTTGAAAATACACCAACAGGCAAACCAAAAACTAATAATAATAATAATAATAATAATATACTTTCATTATCTCTGACAGAGGTAATTATCATTGCTACAGATTAAAATCCCCTAGACTCCATCATCACTGCCTCCAAAAGTTGGCATAGGAGAAATAGGGGTATACTCATTCATCAGACATGCCATCACAGCCTAAGGAAGAGACACAAAAGAACCACAGTTAATGACCAATGATGCATTTCCCCTAATCTAGCAAAATCCTCAATTTGGTGTTGACAATAATCCAGCATTACAAGGCATTAGTGTCTCTCCATCATTTAAGAGTTTCAAAAACCCTTAAGTTTGATACCAGGCTAAGTGCATTTGACCTTTCTTGTAAAAAAATGACTCCTGTTTGGAGTATCACTACCCTTCCCCCTGGAGGGCTTGCTAGTCCATTGCAAGGTTACCCCCAGCATTTCATCAGGCTTCCCTGACAATTTGCTGGTACCTTCTTTTATTCCTGGGGGGAGAGAAGCACTAAGAGTAGAGTAGAATTATTTGCCCAAGAACATAACACATTGACTCAACCAGGTCTCGAACCCTGACCTCTTGACACAGTGTCCAGCACACCATGTGTCCCTCTTCTCATTTATATGGGAATATTAAAATCATTTTTGCGCAAAAGGCTTTGCACTTACACCTACTACAAATCAGAGGCTTTAGGTATGTAGTATGTGGCCTGATAAGACCACTATTGGCCCTCGTTTACCTCAACATAATGAAGAAAGTTCTTAATCACAAGAAAATAAAACTTCCATAAGCAGCAGTCAAACTAACTGATCCAACTTACCATTATAGTCCACTTCCTGTTTTCTGCCTCCTGCCAAACCAATGACTTGTCAGAAAGAAACACTTCATCGCTCACCTCGTAAGGTTTCCGTGGCAGGCAGTGGAGGAAAACAGCCTCTTCCTTGGCAAGAGACATCAACTAACAAAAGAATAAAGTTTAAACTTGTGCTCATCCTATAATAAGCAGAGTTTGTAGTAACCTTACAGGTTATAAAAGTGGAAAAAATAATGACTTTCAAAATAAGTTTAAAGAATCCATCAGCTAAAGCAGTCAAAATCCTTCACCCCCAAACATGCAAAAACATTACCAGTCAATCTGCAAAAAAGAAAATATGCAAGACTTCACATTAACCTCATTCACTATTAGAGCCTACCTTAGTGTCAACTTGGAAGCCTGAAAAAGATTTGAGTCTTGCTGCTTTTTCTTCTTCCTGGCCCATACTGACCCATGTGTCAGTGACAATCACATCTGCATTGGAACATGCCTCTCTGGGATCTGTTGTGAAGTTCACGGATGTGTTTTGCTAAAAAGAAGGATTGGCACTACATCATCAAAGATTACTGTGTATTTTTATGGTCAACAATCATAGAGAGACCACAGATTCCTACCTCTTGGGCAAAGCTTTGAGAAACTTTTGTGATTTCATTGTCTGGCTCATAGCCCTGATATACAAAAGAAAAACAGTATCAATGAACACATATGGTAAACAAGGTGTCTTAAATATCTCTTGACTTGGTGGGGCAATAAACTGGTCATCACTTTGTTCTTGACATGAAACCTGGCTGCAATTTGACTTTCAAAAAACTGTTGATGCCCAACATTGGAAGTTCTTTGAGAGGAGAGGGTAAAGCATCTTCAGACCCTACCTCAACAAAACTCTCAAATTTGACTTCACAATCTCCTCAAAAATAGATTTGACCGATTTGAGATGCAAACAATTTCAGCTTGTTTAACACTAAACAGCTTCTTTCAGACTCCCAAGATCTCATTAGTGATTCTTCTTATTATCTCCTATACAGTTCATGTGATGTTAGTTTGGAGAATTTGGTATTGGATCATCTAATAATGCCTGAACTGATATTTTCCTTATTCTCATCACTTGTCTGCTTGATGTTGTATTGATATTGTAAGGAGAAATTCTGTCTTAGTCACTCATGGGAGTTAAAGGGTTAATGGGTGATCAGGGGTTATACTGTAATGAGAAATAAGTAACTGTCCCTCTTTGAGATCAAAGGATTCACTTCAACTTGCTACAGATTATGTTTATAAGTGGCCAAGGAACACAAATCTCTATGGAGGCTAACTAGACCTTTGGAGTTGCAATATTCAGGTGCATTCCAAATTTTGGAGCTGCCATCATAAATGAATGAATGATGTTGTTCCCATCTCCAACCCAGGCAATGGTGCGGCCATGTAAGCTGTCAAAATGTTCCTTGGAAATTAAAAAAATGTGATATAGTCAATGCAGGAATCTCTTCAAAAAAACCAATACTATCATAATAACATTTTCACCACATGTGAACTGCCTATGTTGGCTTTAATGAACCTGGAAAATTCAGTTAATTAATTTAGATAGAAGTGTGTCTCCAAGGAAGAGTCGTCATAAAAAAAAAACAATTCATGACTTAAAATTACCTGTAGTGTTAAAAGGTCTGCAAGTATCTGAATGGGGTGGTACATGTCTGATAAACCACTGCAAAAAAACAAATTTATACACCTTGGACTCTATTCAATTGATATGAGAACTTAAGGAAGAAAAATCAGAAAAAGAGAACAGGGGAAAGGAATGTGGGAGGAGTGAAAGCAAAAGAAAAGGAGGCAACATAAGAGGAACAGAGAAACCACATGATATTGGCATGGAAATTCCAGACCATGGTCTGTATTGTAAAAAGCTAGCCAATCAGATTTGAGGATTTGAGGATTCCACCTACTGAGATGCTTCAGAAAAATTAAGTATACTGGGTACATTATTTTAACCCCTTTACTTCCAAGATCTCGTTAGTTATTCTTCCTAGTGTCTGCCATACAATTCATGTGATTTTAGTTGGGAGAATTTTGTACTGGATCAACTAATACCCCCAAGATCTCATTAGTTACTCTTCCTACTGTCTGCTGTACAATTCATGTGATTTCAGTTGAGAGAATTTTGTACTGGATCAACTAATAATCCCAAGATCTCATTAGTTACTCTTCCTACTGTCTGCCATACAATTCATGTGATTTTAGTTAAGAGAATTTTGTATTGGATCAACTAATAATCCCCTAATGGATATTTCAAACATTATTCTCATCACTTTTCTGCTTGAGATTGTTTCGGTATTGTGAGGTGAAATTCTGTTTTGGTCACTTATTGCATGGAGTCAAAGGTTAGAAACTGACTTCTATGGCATAAGGAACAAGATTGTTAATATTAGATCCTGCAACAAGGTATAAAGGGGGTAAGTTCCTAGAACAAAAATTTATCTTTCAAATTGGCACTCTTAATCCCCATGGTATCAACAAGCACTTTTTATTTTAATAATTTATTCTTTTTTTCTTGTTACTACATTTCCAACAATAGCGCAGCTCCACTTTCAGCAAATAAACACACACATAAAACCCATAAATCCTCCAATTGTAACTCTTAACAGCAGCCAGTTTATGTTATCAACTCAGTTGATGATACCAAATTACCCTGAATCAAGGTACCTGATAACTGGAATAGTGGCATGTTCTGCCATTACTTCAAGATCCTTCTGTTCATATACCCTTGCCAAGATAAAATCACAGAATCCTGAAAGAACCCTGTAAATAACCGATGATTAAAAAAGGAAGATAGAATACTGACAACAAAACATATAATAATAGTCCTGAGGTATTTATTTCTAGGCCGATTTATTGCATCAGCATTCCAATGTATCACTAACTGTAGCCATTTCATTACAGTTGAAAATAAATGAAATTAATTCTTTGCACTATCTCCTTTACATTTCTCATGATTTTATTTCTGAAAATTTTAGTGGATATTTTTTTTCTTCTTGTTACTCGCCTATTTAAAATGTATTTGATAATATTAGGAGAATATCCTTTCAGGTCCCTCCCATGGGTGAAAGAGTTAAAAGAGAGAGAACATATACTAAAAAACTGTCACAGCATTATTTATAAATGACCCCAAAACAGCTAAATGGACTTAAGAAATATCATTAAGTTAAGTAAATATAAACATGATCTTTTAGTTAATGATTTTCTCTACATACTTGGCTGTGTCTATAGCTGATTCATTGACTCCAAGATGAATATCACTGTCTGTGAGAAATACAGAATGTCCTCCAAGAAGGGCAAGACCTGAAAGTTTAAGAAAAGTTAAATAGGACTTTGCAACCTGTATTACAGTCTTCTGGCTGAAAAATCCATCCATAACATACCAGTTTCTGTTGAAACTCTTGTTCGTGTGCTACGTTTCTGGAAAATAAGAGCAGCTGATTTGCCTTCCAACAGCCGCACAGTCTGAAGATCAAATAAAAACGAAAGGGGAAGTGCTCACGATGGACTAAACTGATCAGTGCTCTGTGTGTTTTCATCATTGCTCAGTAAACATAAAGTTTATTGGAGAAATGAGAGTGTCTTGATTTTGGCTCTTTATATACAATTACCTTGAAACCAACAGTAGCATTATTGGATTGCATCAGCATGTCAAGATTCACTTGTTTTGAAAAAGTTAAAAAACAAACATGCCAGGAATGTTATTAAGGAACAGCTATAAAAAATACAAAACCATTTCAAAAGAAAAATCAAGCAGGCTCTGATTCCACAAATTATCTAGACTTTCAGAGAGGTACATGGCCTTTAAAGAATCTATCCAAGTAATAAAACATTAGCCATACAAAGCAAAGACAATCATAGCCCTACCTCATTCCCTTTTTTAATTCTTTGCTTTAGATCAGCTGCAGTCCACAGAAGATATCCAATCTCATCACTAGTAAAGTCTCTCAGAGTAAGAAGATTCCTCCCAACAACAGATGGAAACCCATGGCTATGGAGAGTTCAAAGCTTCAATGTGTTTATAAGACAATACATTTTATCAACCCCATGAGTGATCAAGACAGAATTTCTCCTCACAATATTAATACAAAATCAAGAAGAAATACTATATGAATAAAGAAAGTATCATTCAGGGGATTTTAAGCAGATCCAATATCAAATTCTCCAAACTAACGTCATGAGAATTGTATGGCAGACAGTAAGGAGAATTACTTATGAGGTCCCGACAGTCAAAGGGTTAATTATTCCTAAAATCTCAACAAAATATTTGCTTTGAATATCTTATCTGAACCCCTTATCAACAAAGGGGAAAACGGTAGAAGTTCTCTTAGAGCTAGCCAGTTTTCAGATGCATTTTTTTTAAAGAGATTCCAAATATCAATTGTTCTTAATAATATATCACTGTTCTAAAAAGAGGCTAATATATTTAATTGAAAATAACTTGTAAAGTACAGCTTGATACAGTTAGAGATTGAAAGTGTGACAGAATAGTAACCTGAGATGTTAAGGAATCGCATTCTTTTTCATCGACTAATTAAGAAAACTGACAATTTTTAATTCTGTAATAAATTAAAAATGTTTTAATCGATCACATCAAGGTGAGGTTGGAACAATAGACCACGAGAGGAACATAAAATCCCTAATTGCTCTTTACCTTGTACTACAGTGCCTCTTTGAAGAAAGAGCTGCTATTATTCTGCAATGGCCATTTAAAGGTTCTCTTCCTTTCATAGCTCCAGATATAGAGGAACAAATCCGAAAGCAGCTTCGAAATAATCGATTGGAAGCCATTTTGATTCAGTTTTTGTGACGGGTTTATAGACCGACGTGTCACGAAAACTCGCGAGAGTTCCCGAGCTAGACGAGTTTTTTTGGCGGGAGTAACGCATTAAACACGCTGATTGGATACTAGATATTTTTCGTAGAAACCAAGATGGCGTCGGACGACGAGGATGTGCCAGGTTTGTTTATCTTTTTAGTTTCCCTTTGTTGTTAGGTTAAAACTTTTCCATAACTGCTGTACAACTGATAAATCGTTATTTAGGGGTGTGTCAAATTTTGCATTTAAATCGTAAATTTTGCTTTGCTTTGCTGCAGATTCTGGCGCGGTGTTTACATTTGGCAAGAGCCGTTTCTTGGACAACAAATTTTGGATTCGCGATGATGCAGTCATCCACCTCGCTTGTGGAGACGAGCATTCCGCCGTCGTTACAGGTAGCCTTGACCAATATATTTTTCTACGTTAAGCTTTCTTATCACCTTTCCGTTTCTAAGTGTATTAATTTTTTGCGTTTAAAATTTGACAAGCTGTACACAGTGATCAACCTGTGCGATCGAAGTAGAAATCTTTCCTTAAAATACTGGAAAACACTGATTTCAAGGTAACAATGTACTTTATTACGCAGAAAATGGAAAGCTCTACACGTTTGGAAGCAATGATTGGGGACAGCTGGGTCATGGTAGCACAGTACAGTTTCCTAATCCAAAGCTTGTCAAACGTAAGTTTTATTACATTAAGGATGACAAATTTTGAAATGTGGCAGTTGCAGAACAGTTCGAGTAATTAAATTGATCTCATTGCGAAAGTGGAGGAGAGATTATTAAGTTTCATAATTGAAAGCTATAACGAGAAAACAACCCGGTTCTCGTTAGAGATGCGAGTTATTGAAAAGCGGCGTGCAATTTTTATTTGAATTTGTATGTTTGCGTATTGTGCCTCTTAAATGTAACCTATTTTAATAAGTGTTTTAATTACAGTTACTTCTGACATGAATAATTTATCGGGTTTTTCATTTATGATGACAGTAATATCCTTGACCACATACACATTCAATATTCCTTTTTGTTTGTTATTTTTGTACTGAAAATATACTCTAGAATAATTGTCTTAACTTTCTAGCCGTCATTTTATTGTTAACAATTTCTTATATATGGTGAATTTAACATGTTACATCATCCTCTTATTTAAGTGTAAGGAAAAAATTATCATAATAAGAGGCAAAAAAATAGTGAAAGTCTCCCAACCATATTCCTTCCTTAGGTCTCCCACATCTAAGTCTTTACTACTGTCTTTTGAATTTTACACCTCATTGCTAAATCTTGTATTTGTACCTTTTTTTTTTTTGGAGGGGGGGTGGGGGCTGGGGTGCCATTGGAGTTTAGTCAATCTGGTGTGAGGTAAAGAAGAGTATAGAGAGGGAAAAGTTACTTTGAAATTTGGGGGCTGGATTTGCTCATCTCATTCTATTTTTATGTGGTTATTTTTCTTTTGTTTTTCTTTTGTGCTGGATGCAGACTAATTAGATTAAGAGAGAGATTGATTTCTAACGGGCAAGAGAGGTTTACACAACAATTTTAGTATTGCATTCCCACTAGGATAGGATGTTAAATGATCATACCTTGCTTCTTAGCAATTTTTTAGTGTACAGAAAGTTTGCTGTTACCTTCCTATACTTCTTTGGTTAGAGATCCACAAGATCATTTAAATGTTTTTCTGCCAAAAGAACAAAGAAACCCAGACTCTGCTCTAACAAGGACCTCCCAATGTAGAAACCATCACTCTCATGACCTCATCTCCCTTGTGAATGCTAAAAAGGGTGAAATGGCAGTGATATCATTGCTGTCCAACTTTTCTCTACAGGCTTGAAACCAGAAAAGGTTAGGCTTGTTGCTGCTGGAAGGAATCACACAATTGTATCAACTGGTCAGGAGAGACATTTGTTTATACTATTTTGAAATTTCATGATTGTCTTGTGAATTTTTCTTGGTTGTACTCCTTTTCAATAGGGCCAGGTTGTTCATATCTGGGTGCAGCTAATCTAGACTTAGGGTGAAATCTTATCTCAGATTTGAAAGTTTTAAGATAAAATTCAGTATATTTCTTTTTGTCTAGCATTTGATCATTAGTTGCTCTAAAAATTAGAGAAAATTATGCGAAAAAAGCCTTTAAACAAAGGATTAATAATTAAAGAAACCTAGATTAAAATTTAACCTTGGAGTTAATCGTCCTTCAAACAGCTGGGTCCAGGACTGTTACTCTTCGTACTGCTCTGTAAGTGCACAGTGCACAGTTTACAGCTCATTTACACATAAAATGTTAATGAAACTTGAATGCACAAATTTTGTCTTACTAATCATAGCAAAACTAGAATATCACATTCACTACTTAGCCCTTCAACTCTCATGATGTGACATTAATTCTCTTCTTTAGCTAGAACATATTGCCTCATACAAAGTAATTACTACTCATTTAACCCTAAAGTAATGATTTTTTTCATTCAGAATCTGGAAAACTTTACAGTTTTGGTTGTGGCGTTGATGGACAACTAGGTCATGGGAACTGTGAGGTAAAGGCCCTAGAACTTGCTTCTTACTTGTGACCTCTTAACCATTTACACCCAAAAATCAGGATCTATATTCTCCGTAATGTCTACTGTACATTTCTTAATGGTATTGATGAGGAGAAACAAGAGCTTCTTTATTCAGCAATGATTTCTATTATACTCATGACCTTAATGTTTAAATCAGTGGTGGTACTGTAGGAATGAAAAAGTTAAAAAATTAAAATATCGTTTCGACAGAATAGAGCTGACATAGGATTGAAAAAAAAGCTAAAACTGGCTTAAAAAAAAAGGATGTCATTGTTAGATTCTTAAAAGATTTTCACTCAAGGGAAGCAGTAAACCAAGATGGCAGTTGTGGCCTAGAAGTGTAACAACAACTCCACTAATTAAGCGCAATATGGAGGGAAATATTGGGCTAATATCAGTGACATTGATTTCTTGAAAATTCTTGATTTAGCAATGTCAGTCTTGAATAAACTATACTTGAGAGAATTTTCATAAAATTATTAGTAAGAGTAGTTCTCTTTCAAACCGAGTGACCATTCTATGCAAATCAAGGCAAGAGAAACAAGCTGTTGTAATGGGGTTAATAGATACCATTGTTGCTTTATAAGAGGGGCAGTTACAGTTATTAATATAACTGAAAACTTTGGCAGATTTTCTGTTTGTGCCTTTTGGTTGGTCCCAAAATATTTAATCAGTTTGTCTTTTAGTCTGAAACAACAAAACAAAAAACTGCTTTGATTCAAAGCTATAATCAAAGATAAAAATGCACCAGTAAGCACACTTGTGGAATTCAGGTACATCATATTATTTTGAGAGTTAGTTATTATCAGGAAAAGCAAGAAAATAGTTTGTGGTTTGTTTTGTTTTGTAGAGTTCTCCAGTTCCTAAAGCTATTGAGTCTTTACCTGACCAGCAGTATACATTGCTTTCCTGTGGGTCAGACTTTACTGCTGCTGTTACTGGTAAGACTTTTAAATTCTTCTCCACACTGCCATCAAGGGGGTGTAAGAGTCTTTTTGTTATTCTGTCATAAGGAAAGAATTCATTTGTCACATGATTATTTCAAATTATCTCAAACAAAGATTAAAATTGTTGACTGCTATATAAATTATACAAAATTATTGCATAAAATTATTAATTACCGTGTATTTATTGACTGAATGGGAGGGGCAGACAGAGATATTTGGCTAGCAAGGTCTGCATGCCATGAATGAGAGCCAAATATTTTCCCATCCAGCCCAACCAAACTTAGTCAATTAGCATTTTACCATGTGACCAATAAGTGTTGAACATTTGGAAAAGTTTGTTTCAACCTAAATTGGACTTGATAGGTGAGCATATGGGGAACAAACACAAAAAGGATTCTGTAATAAAATTTATCCCTTATTTCTCCAATTCAGAACACAGTTCATCAAAAAAACAGGACTCTTTTCCTCTTTCCTCTTTTCCTCTATGCTTTTGCAACAAAGCTGTGCAAGTGAAGCAGGGCCAGACAGCTTTTTCTGGACAGGCTCACATTGACTCATCTGGCCTGAGACACATCAGCTGTAACTACTCTAATGTTTTTCTATTGGATTGCTTGTGCAGGACCAGATGGGTTATGATATGGGACTTGATTTTTTAATTGCTGGCATGTGTTTTCAAACACATATAGTCTTTTAACTTGTGATGCAATCTGCCTGATATGACTAAGTAATAGAGGAAACACCTTGTACTTTGTAAAGACAAATTTAATTGTTTTCCTCTCTACAGAAGAAGGGCAACTGTACTCTTGGGGGTCAAACAGTGAAGGACAAATAGGTCACGGTGATGAGATTGATGATGACAGTTGTGCAATACCCACAAAAGTGAAGATAAGAGGAAAAGTGGTGTCAGTGGCTTGTGGCTATTATCACATGGCTGTTGTGACAGGTTAGTTATTTCCAAACAGTTGTAAAAGGTTGATTTACATGTAACTAAGGATCAACCTATCTCATACATAACAGCAACATTTAATTTACTTCAACTGCAGATGATGGTTCTTTGCTCACTTGTGGGGAAAATGAAAGTGGCAAGCTAGGATTAGATGAGTCACAAACTAACAATACATCAAAACTACAAAAACTTTTTAGTATAAATGAAGAGGTTGTCTCTGTTGCATGTGGTGGAAATCACACTGTAGCAGTCACAAAAAATGGAAAATTATATTCCTTTGGACAAGGAGACCATGGTCAACTTGGTCATGGATCTTCACTGTTAGAGTGCAGTTCTCCTAAACAAGTGACTTCTCTTAGAAATATATGTGTACGATATGTTTCCTGTGGTGAATCGCATACTGCAATTGTCACAAAACACGGAAACCTTTACACCTGTGGAGACGGACGACACGGAAAACTTGGCATGGGGGAGGAATCATTCTCCAATCTATTCAAACTTGAAAAAGTGACTAGATTTGATCAATTTACGGTTAAAACTGTGGCCTGTGGAGGGTGTCATACACTTGTTGCGGCAGTTAAAACAACTGAAACCGGTGATGGTACAGATAGTGAGGCAGAGGCTGAGAAGGATATTCTTGCATCTTCCATTTCTTCAACTAAAAGTCTTCAAGATGCTGTGGATGGACCGTCACTGGCTGCCACTTTCCCTGCAGGTGGCGCAGCGAGGAATAAACGTCGGCAGAAGAACTTAGAGGTAAAGTGTGCATCATAAAATTTAAGAAGCTTTGTTAACATCAGACATATAATTATATTATGGTGAGAGGAACGTGTGGAGGCCGATTTGGCCTGTAGTCAGACGAGTGATTAGCAAACTCGGTCGATTGCAAAACGCGAGTATGATTCGTCAATTGCAAGTATGATTACAGAAATAATTGGACGGCACGAAGTTTTGTAATCAGGTGGTCAAAACAATGGCAAAATGTCAGGACATCATACTTGAAATTACTGTTAACTAGAATTTAAACATTTGACTCTTTACACAAGAAAAGAAACCAAGTATTCTACAACAGGGCGCGCGAATGACGTGTACTCTCCAATTATGAGGGTGACGTTGCGTGGTCTGCTCTATTACACTTTCTAAATACAAGCACGATGTATACAGTGTCCCATTAGAGTTATTAGAGTTTAAAATCGGGCTTCTCACAACCAATCACTTTCGATGATTCTGGTATCGTTTTGACTGATACATACGGGTGACCAAAAGATAATCAATTTGTGAATACTTTGTTAACGATTGCTACTGTAGACTGTTTTTTTATTGAGTGCAAATGAATTACCATCACAAATCGTTTAAACTGTAAATTTTAATGCAGAGGGTCAGCGAAAGAGCGGGGCGAACGACAATGCGTTGTTGTGATTGCTAAGGAAACGGTTGAGTTTCTCGCACGCAAATTTTTTCAGTCCACTGATCGAAAGTGCCGTACAGGCTTAGGCTTCCATAGCAGTTAATGTGAGTGTAAGATCATGATCTTACACATATATTATTGTGTACTGTACAGGCCTCACGAACCTTTTTTCTTTTAACGTTTAGAGCCTTGGTAACTCAGTGGGAGGCTCTCTGCCTCCAATTAACAAGTCCGCCCTACCTCCTCTTTTACGAACATTACCGGCTTTGAAGAATGAGGTTTCCAAAGATGAAAAAATGGCTGTTAATCCTCTAGACATGTCTATGTTACCTCAAATATCGAGAGAAGGTGGGTTTTTGTTTATCAGACACTTTACTGCACATCAAAGGTTTTAAGTCTCCATGTTGTGCAATGAGATGTTGTTTAAATCAAACCTGTTCACTTGGACTTTCTTTGAACCGTCAACAGCAGAAAAGGAGAAGAGAAAAGATGAAGGCAAAATTCAAAAGATATCTGGCAGCAAAGAGTCGAAGGTATTTGGTTACTCTTGTTAGCATCGGAAGGATATTGCGGTTTTTTTTTTTAGTTTTTTGATATCCTTATTGGTATTGATATACATGTGCAATTGTTTCTTTCGGAAATGAAATCTTTTAATGAGGATGAATTTATTGTAAGCGGTTGATTTATGTTGTTTCTCTATGTAGGCGAGTAAAGCAGCTAAAAGGACAAGCCACTCGGAAAGCTCGTCTGGCATTTCTGAAAGCGAAGATGAAGATGAGCAACATGATAAGCAAAAGGCTGACAAAACTTCGAGTCGTAAGCAGGAAAAGAAAGAAGATGGTAAAAAGAAAGCTGAGGAAGAATCTGAGGACTTAGAGGAAGACGAAAGCGGCAGCGAAGAGGAAGATTCCTCCGACAGAAAGAAAGCGACAGAAACAAAGACGCAAGTAGAAACGGCTGCTAAAGATGACAAGAAAGAGAAGGCTCCTTCTAAGGAAGACGGCGAAGACGAGGAATCTGATGAAGAAGAAGAAGATAGCGACGAAGAGGGCGAGGAAAGTACAGAGGAGGCTAATAAGCCCGAGAAGCGTGAACAACTTAAAGTTGTTGGAAAGAAAATTGAAGTTGGAAAGGTTGATAAAAAGAAGGAAGACGAAGAAGAAGAAGAAGAGGAAGAAGAAGATTCTGAAGAAGAGGAAAGTGACGAAGAAGAAGATGACGATGATGATAAGAATGACGAGGAGCAAGAGGGACCGAGTAAAAATAAGAAACAGGAGGAAGAGTCTGGCAAGAAAATAGACTCAATAGAGAAAAACAAGAAGGTGGATTCTAAGAAACGACAAGAGACTGAAGAGGAAAGTGAAGAAGAAGAAGATGAGGATGATGAGGACATAGAACAAGATGAAGATAAAGATACTAAGAAAGGTAAGAATATTTTCTCGGTCATAGTGTGCTATTATTCTCTCATTGGAACTTCGTCACGATTTTAAGTGAAAAACGTCAGTTTTTGCCTTTTGCATGATGGAAACCAGAAAATATAAGTTTGGTGAGATAGAAAAGACCAAACTTGAAAGAAAAATCCAAAAAGGAACGCGAATAAAGATGGAAGAGATGACGAATGACAAATTCTGAAAAAGAAGTCATAGGTCTTCATGATGTGCAGAACAGGAAATAGCTTTGAAACTGTCGCCTCTCGCTTGAAAACGGCCAGTTGCAGAGGATTATGGGAAAAGTTGTCTTAACCATGCCCTCTTAGCCTGCAGTTTTCTCTAATGAGGAGATTTAGGGCGGGAAAGATAAAATAAAGGAAACATTTACGTCATCTCGGATCATTTCTTACCAATCAAAGTGAGATACTTTTGACTCAGTGTTAACTCTGATTCAGAGTTTACCGCGTAAAATCTCAGATATTATTTATTTATTCTTTATATTATTTAGACAAATGAGAAATGTTCTGTTCCTTTAGATCTGTGTCCAAAACTCACCATTTTGTTTTCTGTTTATCAGGTAAAAAGGTTAAAGAAAAAACGGAGGATAAGAAGAAGAAAAAAGGTAAAGAAGAAAAGACAGGAGATGAAGATGACCTTGATAAAAAGAAATCTGGAAATAAAAAAGACAAGAAAAAGAAGGATAAGAAAGCAAAGGTGAGGGTTGGTTGCGCCTTTCTTTATGTTTTTTTCTCAAGGTTAGTCGTTGCCAGGTGTAATCTAGTCCCGTAGAATCGAAAAAGTGAATGGTTCATTGGTAATAGTATTCATTTACCTTGGAAACAACAAGAAGTCTGAATCGCTGGTGGCAAATCATGTGCGGCGAATCACGAGTGGCGTAAAGTTGCATGGATTGCGTCGTTTCACGTGACAAAGACGTAGAACAGTCAGATACTAAGCCTGGAAAATCTTCCCATGTAGGGGGAAGATTGAGAGGGAAACAAGGGTGTATAAGAATTCGACGTTCAAATGAAATGCAGATAATGAGCCTGAAAAGTTGAACTTTCCCAGTTGTGAAAACTTCCACGTAGTTCCTTTTGGAAGGGGTAGGTCGTAATGGATCCTTGACGGTTAGTTTGGCGGTCAGAAATTTTTATCGATTGATTTTTAAGCTGGAACAAGGCGTGGCGTAACTTTTTTTAACGTCATGAGTACTGATTACCTTATCATTGGTCGTACTTGTAGGAGAGGGCTAAAGAAGACGAAGATGAAGATGAAGACCAAGCTGAAGAAAACGAAAATGACGAAGACAAAGAAGATGACAAAGATGAGAAGGATAAGGATGAGAAAAATGGTAAAGATAAGAAGGACGAGAAGGAAAATGGAGCTGTGGCAGGAAAGAAGAAAGCGAAAAAGTCTGGCGTTTGTATTCTTTTGTGAACGAAAGAGGGAAATTACTAAATTAGAAACTCTACAGTTTGTACTCTTGCTTGCTTGGCAGTCACCTTTACTAAACCATTTCCACAGTATACCTTTTGTCTTGGAATGAAATGCTTTTGACGTCGTGACACATGCGACAACTATGAAATACAAAAAAGAAACGTCGATTTCGAATGATCCTTTGGAAACTGTGTGACTTCTTAAATTGGAGATTCGAATGCGTATTGTTGAGACGTTATATTATTTTATAGACGTTTTTATGAGGCGATTTATGAGAGGCGAGGTAACAGACGTTGTCCCTATTTTCTGTTTTGTAGCATATTTGGTATTGCAGACCGTGAAATGTTTCCAATAACTTAGCAAACTTTCCATAATTGCCAGATAATGTACTGAATTTTTTCAACGCTGATCATGTTAAGTGACCAAGTGATGTCAAAGTGAAGAAGACTCCTTAAAACTTAAAAAGGTTTTTGAATTTTTTTTTTAATACATACCACATAAACAGTTTATGAAATGAAGAGTTCGGTAAATAAATTATTTTCCAGTTGTCTTACTCCTATACCTTGTCTTTATCTCTGCAGAAACTTCTGACGTAATTTCTGACACTCATTTAGACCTAGGATTCACTTCCTGTACATTAAGTACCACAGTATTACATAAACTTCTCCATAGCGGCTGTAATTATAGCATATTTCTCCTTTCCTCTCCGGACCTATTCAATCGTTTTCAAGAGCCGTTGGGATAAGAAAAACCTGAAAACGAAGTTGTGTACAACCTCGTTTTCAGACGTAATGGCTTGACTTATGGCTTCTGGTCGACTCCTGCGTATGCTCAAAGTAGAGCATACGATCCTCTACGCCGGCCGAAGGAGCCGGTGCACTTGTGTACGTGAACTAAATTCATCGTATCTAATCGAGAGGGCAAATTATAAACCAGAAAAAGATACCGAGATCTTTTTCAGTGTGTGCCATCCAGTGCTCCTGGAAGTTTGGAAATGAAAGATGAAGGGATAAGCAATGGTCTTTTACGTTGCTTTTAGGTTTCCGCGCGGGTTGCATCGACTGTAAGCTTGTTAGTTTGATAAAGATGGACTTTGAGAAAGCAGTCTCATTTTCTTTAGAAGAATCGGGCTCGGAGGAAATAAAAAAGGATCAACAGCAAAAGCCGAGGATTGTACACGTGACTGCACTCGAGCTGGGATGACTGCAAGAGAGAAAAAAAGCAATGTTTTGGGAATATGTAAATAACGACATAATTTCTTTTAATATGTATAAAGTAATTCAAAGTATATTCAGACTAGACAGACTATGTTAATGGCTGAAAATCCCACAGTTTGTAGTTTGAGGTCTATTACGAAGTTCTTATGACACGCGTCCTGCATACTGTTAGGATCAGCAATGTCGATAGCGTTATGTTTGTAAATAGATTAAGAGAGATGGTAAGTTTTGAGCTCGGTAAAGAAATAGAGAAAGATGTTTTTCGTCTTGTCCCACGCTCGTGACAAGGCGAAAAACGTCCACTCTATTACTTAACCGAGCTCAAAAACTTACCATCTCTCCGGCTTATTCTATTTATAAGAATACCCATTTTGTCGCCCCTAACATACCACATACATTAGACAACTTTTCTAATTTTTCCTTATCTACTTAAAGATGAAAACACGACTAATAAGTTTTTTTTAACAACTATTGTACTATTTACTTTTCCTAAATAACTTGGGGAGGATCGAAGCACGTACATATATATTAAAAATATCTAAAGATCAAGCGGAACGGTGAAGCAATGATATAATTTGAACCTTGAGAACATCACAAGCTTTGAGTTCGCTCTAGCCTCTTTTGCATGATTCAGTTTGCTAAATCAAGCTAGCTGTAAGTCACAAGATTCATAGATAAATCTGAAAGGAAAAACCTCGGTGCTTCCATTGGAAGAGTCTTGTTGAGGTACCCAAGACGTGAGTAAAGTGGATCTTTTTTTTAATTAGTTTACTTGCGGCAAAGCAGATAGTGAAACTGTGGCCTGAGACGGCCTTTGAATAGATGGCTTTGAATGGCGACAGACCTCCTTTTTGTCTTTCAAGAACGGAACCAGGCCTTTTCTTCGCGATTTCCTTTACATATCTAGGAAACTTCTCGATGTCTTCTTTGATGCTGAATACAAGACTGTAGTAAGCATATCCGACTTTTTTTATTTTACGCTATTCTGATGTCGTACTCTTTTGCATTACACTTCCGTACGCTAGAACGGCCTCTACAATGCCTTCAATTCTGCTTTTACTCCAAACAAAGAGATAATATATATTTCTACTTATATACATCTATTACAACAATGACAGCAATCCATTGTTCCATGGAGAATAGCTTCCCGCTGAGAAACAAGAATAAATTATTCGAACGAAAAGCGATTTTCGTTCAACTAATTTATTAGATTATTGTTTTTCTCGTTACCATGTTCCCACTAATAGCGTAGCTCCATTTTCTAACCACAAACACACACACAACTCACAATTCTTCCATTCGCTCTGACGAAGGGCTTATGTAGATAGGCCAGTTATGAAACCCTCAACAGTGGTTAATTTACGTTATCAACTCAGTTGATAATACGAGATTACGTTTACATCATGCGGGCTGTGGACGCAATTTAACCCCAACTGTGCATAAACCTATAGTAACAAAGCATTCCATTTATTTCCCTACGCAATGGCAGCGACGGCGTCAATGCTATCTTCATACTAATTCCGTAAGTCATGACCTCGAGCTAAATATTTTCCCGTCCGAAAAGTCAGGAATCGCTGTTGCTGGCCTTCCCACTCAATCAATAAGTACATAGTACACAGCAAATTTCTAACTTGAAGCAGAAGAATACAACGATTATCGAGGTTTTGTTTTCCCTCAACTGAAAGTTTCCTTATTCACGTCTTAGTTGATGGGAGTACGTGTCTTTCCCATCCCTTCTCAAAGTAGTAAGTGGTATCAACAAATAACTTAATGAATGGCTTAAAAATATTCTCGAAATGTAAATGATGAAAATCATTTTGATATGTGCCAGTCCTGAGCAAATTGACGTGCAGACCTAGTCTCGTGCCCAAACCTTTCACGGTCAAGCGGTTACATTTCAGTTACAGTTACACGGTAGAATCTGGGTACGAGATTAGTGTTGAGCAAGATTGATAGGGTCATTCCCAGGGCTTTTCCTTGGCAAACTCCACGGAGCGAGAAAATCCCGAAGAAGAGGTTCTGCATGATCACAAAAAGAGTGTTTTCCCCTTTTTTTATCGATTCCTTTCTCCATTACAAAAACAATAGGAATACATGTGCAGAAGTGATAAATGAAAGGTCAAGAGATTGATTAACATGACTATACCCTGAATGATACATCACATTTATGATAATATGAAGGAAGTGGAGAGGATGATATATAGAATAAAAATAAAACAATAGAAAATAATAATAATCTAAAATACGATGGAAGATAAAATTAACATAAATAAGACAAACAATCTTCCTATATTTTTTGAGGACGTGATACGAATACAAAATTTAGACGGCAGCTTGTGAGTTTTTTCGGAGTTTTGCGGCTCTTTGAAAAATAGGGTCGAAAGAAGATGACCGCTTGTCAACGTTAATGACTAAACTATTGTCGCCAAGGAAATAAAATAAACATTAACCAAACAGTCGATGAAAACTGCTGTGAAAAATTACGATGAACTTTGAATTGTCCGTCGGAAATCTTTGCGAATGATTTTTGACGCTCACTGGTCTGTTTGCTCATTTATCTCTGATGGTTTATCTTTGGTATTTGACATGTAAATTTTCTTCACAATTTCAGCATGATATCCGCCGTAAAAGCTACGTGCAAAAAATATATGATGGCAATCGTCATGATCAAACATTGTAGTTATTGAAGGTGGTTTCTTTTTTTTTTTCATTTTTGATGTGATATAGCTTTAAATTATCTTGACTAACTACAAGGAATCTGGAGCGATTCTGAGCAGAATTAGAAATTAACCGATCATGGGAGTTGAAGAGTTATAATAGCGACACTAGGTTTGTGTCTCCTTGGTCTCCGTCTCATCCAGCCGTTCGCAGCAAGAGGCTCAGTATTCGACAGCAAATACAATAAGTAAATTTGAACCGACCAAAGTTTTTATTTTATTTTGTTGATACATCAATGCAATTAGTGAAGAAAGAGAGAAGGCACTAACTGGGAAATCAATTGTACAATTCAAGTAGGACGGTTCCTTTTAAGTCACTGTGCTGCGACCAATGTTAACTGAAAATGCCAACAAATAGATTTAAAAAGCTGAGTATTATATTACATGACAAACTTTGTACTGGAATACAAACAGCTCGTTAACCCGAGCATGCAAAAGCAAAATTGAGGTCTTTAAGTTAAGTTCAGTAACTATTATTAGAGAACACATCGATTATTAGTCTGAAATTCTTCTCAATACAAAACACTCCTATAGATCTCGCCTTATGTGTTGAATTTGATCAATGTACATTTGAGATCTTCCAAGTTGAGTCCATTTACAGCAGTCCCACTTTTTCTAAAGTGTGGCGCAGAATAAGTTGACTTCTTAACTCTGAAAGAGCCATCCCATGGTGTCTGTCTTCTTCCTCTATCATAGAACAAATCCCCATCCGCCTTGTTGACTTAAAATTAGATGGCGGGTGACTGGAACTTTCTTCTTCATTTGAATGCCTTTCTGCAACCTTTCTGACTCCACTTCCCGCCTTTATGTGTCTTTTAAAGGCAAAAAAATTCTTTAGCAGACAGATTACGATGCTATTCTTTTTCATTTGGTCCTTCTCCATACTGTTGCTCTGAAGGTTCCTTCGCTCCGGTGTGGGGAAAATACACGAAATCTGCTCGGCAAACTGGCCTTTATATTATATTACATCCGTAATCCGGTGTCGTGGGCGATGAATAAGGGATGGTGCAGCAACTGTTCCGGTTCTGCATCTGAAACATGTCCTTAAAAAACGTGATCAGAAAAACACGAGCGGCGGTAAAGCGTGAACATGGACTTCCCCTAAGAAACATCGTGATCTGGGAAACTTTCCAGCATTTAAACCGGACTTACTACGGATGAAACTAGTTATGGCACTCTGAATTTCCTATTTTCTCTCCATATTCCAAATTTAGCGTGGTCGCTATCCTGACCGACTCACTCTATTCTGATTTCCTCATTCATCTCTAACTATCGTGCGAAAAATTCCCAAAGAGAAAACAAACGATGGTGACAATATTGATAGTAGGGGAGGGGAGAAAGGGGAAGATACGTTTGGAGATTGACGCAACAGTGTTTGCCACGTTCTGGGCGCCTTCTCCCCGCGTTTAACCACTTTTCGTAAAGAGTTTGAAGGAGCATTATTATTTTCCCCAGTTACTTCAGTGACATTGAAAGACTAAGGCCTACGATCGACGACTGACTGACTGCTATTCTCGTTCCCAGGACTTTTCCATTGCAAAGTTTTGGTAGTCACTTAATGGAATGGACGAGAAGGCCCTTTAAAGTTGTGAGACTGGGACCGAT